CTTCTCGTAGCAATACTTAGTCATGCCATATGATAAGAATTCTGAAGGGCCTGGCCGGCGCCCCCCTCCAAGGCTGGTGCCCAGGTGCCATGGCCCCCTTCTGCCCCCCACCCCGTCAGTCTGCCACTCCTTAGGTGCTTACTTGTGATCCTATTCCACCCTGCTTGATTCCTTGAAAAATAGTTAATGCAAAAGTTGGCTGGAGCCTCCTCCTTTTCTTTGTTTTTGTGATTTTGCATCAAGGGTCAGATGACAGTGTGTTACAAAAGTAGATGCATTAAATTTTTTTTCAGGACCTGAACAGAATAGAATCACTCTTAGGTACCTAAGCCCACCTAGATGACTAGTAGGTGGACTAGGAGCCGTAATCTAGTGTCCTGCCAGGGAGTTCCACTGTTACTTACAATTTACACGTTCCTTTCCCTTGCTGTCTCAGTTAAATGAAGTAGTTGTTTACTTGTTTGTACAAAATATCTGGCAGTTTCCTTTACCTAAGTTGTAATACCACTTAACCAAAGATAAGCAGCCCTGGAAACTCTGCAGCAAAATGCAAAAAGGATGTGCTGGGGCACTGATAAAGGGGTACAGAACCTTTTCTGTCTAGGCCACGGTTAGCCCTGTACTCAACTGCGTAGTGAATAGAAGATCATAGCAAATGATGATTCCCCAGGGAGCTATGTGAAGAGAGTTGTTAGCCCGAGTTTGGTTCTTTGTTGTAGGGGATTGCAATTCAAAAGCTACCTCACACTGTAGTGGAAACAAACCCATGGTTTTACACAGAGCCAGCCACAAGGCCTGTACACCAATTAACTCCTGCTTCAGCCTTCAGAATGGAAGCAAAGTCCCTACTTATACCTTATAACCAACTACTTTTCTGCCCACATTTGGCTAAAAAAGTGAAGCTTAAATAGCTGTCAGGTGTCTGGGCGATTTTCATTTCGTAAGTTGCCAAGAATGTAAAGTTCAGTGAATCCCTTCCAAATCATATTGTAGCAGTGTAAATATGTTTTTAGTGTAGCTCTCTTTCTATTTTCTCTTTTTTAGATAAAGAGTGCTTCAGTTAGAGCCAAGCAGTAGATTTCCTCAAAATTAAATTTACAATGCAAAGAAGAAATAAATTAAGGGTGATTCAGATTCAGTCTTTAATAATCATTTACATTTCTTTTATGTTCTTTGAATGTGTTTCTTTAGGCAAAATCAAGGAACTTTTTGTCCCTGGTATCATTACGCCAGTAACTGTACTGGTGCTGGTAAATGCAATTTACTTCAAAGCAAATTGGAAATACAAGTTTGACAAAACTAAAACAGTGAAAAGAGACTTTAGGCTGAACCAGGTATTGTATACTTGTATTGTATATACTTCCTATATTTTTTACTCGGTCTCTATTTCTGCTAAGTTTTCTTTGCTCCATAGAGTTACTGCCCCACCTCTGATTTTAAGCCATCACATTTATTAACATAACAAGGTTAAACAAAAGTAATTTTTTCAAACTGGTATTTGGCTTATGTTAGATCTGCTCCTTTCAAAGGCCGGAGGAAAGCCATTTTACACACAAAAATTTGCCTCTCTTCCAACTCTAACGCTGGTCCAAAAGAGACATTACCTCACTTCACAAATCTTGCTTCTTGGACCATTACCAACTTGTCTCCTGTCTCTTCCACCCGTTGGTGATACATAGAAGGTGCACATGGGTGCACCTACACCCCCTGAGCTTGGTAGTGCATCCCCTGCAAAAAGCACCACTGACGCTGCTGGTGGCACCTGTGGGAGATCGCTGCTCGCTATCCCTGCTCCCCCTCACCACTGACACTGCCAGTGGCACCTGCAGGCAGTCCTTGATTGCCACTGGCCACCACTGACACTGCTGGCAGTGTCTGCGGGTGGTTGGTGCTCGCCATCCCCTTCCCACCTCCCCATCACTAACACCACCATGGCTGCCTGCGGGAGCTCCCTGCTCACTGCTGCCACAACCCCACTGCCGCCTCCTGTGGGCAGTTGCTGTGCCCCCCAGCCTCTGGGGGCAAATGGCATTCATGCTTTCACCTATACAAGCTTTGGGGCTTAAAGCATCCTTCATTCAGGTCTGAATTCCTTCTTTCTCTCCCCAAATTATAGAAGTTAGTTCAATAAAATATATTGCCTTACTTCATAAATCTTGTTTGTCGCATAGGGATTTTGTAAATTTCAAGTACAATCTTTCCTTTTAGCTGAGGTCTTCTGTGAGGTGCCAGATGTGAGTGCAGAACAGATGGGAGACACTGAATTTTTAACAAAAGCATTCTTCCAAGTACATATGGTAGTATATTTAAGTTTGATGGATGTTAACAATTCTAAACTATCCTTATCCTTTCTATTTCCATAATCCAGTTGTGCTTGATTGCTGACAATTGTACCAAAATCCTACTAGTTGTCTTCCATGGATTTTTGCAGAGAACACATGGTAGTTACCAGTAAGACCATACTTGAATTTCTAACGTAATAAAATATGAAGAAAAAGAATTAGGAGAAAAGTTCCTTTTTAAGTCTTCTGCTATGTTAAAAAGAAGCAGAAGAGGTCACAAACTTATATGTCATCCTACAGTTATATAGGGTATGATCTTGTGGTTAAGTATTGAACTGGATTGTTTATACTTGTGTTCTTAATTTTTTTTCTTCATAATATGGGAAATTACTCATGTCACATCCTGAGGTTTCTTTTCTTCCTCCAGCAGTTCTTGCCTGCTGCCTGAGCAGAACCCTTCTGACCCTACACTGTTGGAGCCCTTCCTTTATATTTCCTTTCACACCTATAGGCTGGGGAACACCCTTCTTGTCAACTCGGTGGCAAAAAGGGATCTTGGAGTCATTGTTAACTCCAGGATGAACATGAGCCGCCAATACGAGGAAGCTGTCAGTAAGGCTAACCGCACCTTGTCATGCATCTAGAGATGCATCACAAGTAGGTCCAGGGAGGTGACCCTTCCCCTCTATGTGGCACTGGTCAGGCCACAGTTGGAGTACTGTGTCCAGTTCTGGGCACCACACTTCAAGAGGGAAGTGGCTAGCATTGACAGAGTCCAGAGGAGGGCCACTCGCATAGGCCAGGGCAGCGGGGCAGGCCCTACAAAGAGACACTAAAGGGCCTGAACCTATTCAGCCTCCACAACAGAAGGCTGAGAGGGGATCTGGTGGCTGTTTACAAACTCACCAGGGGGACCAGTGAGAATTGGGGGAGGCTCTGTTCCCCCGGGCATCACCTGGGGTTACTAGGAATAACGGCCACAAATTGTTAGAGAGAAGGTTCAGGCTGGACATCAGGAGACATTACATTACAGTTAGGGCTGTCAGGCTCTGGAACAGACTCCCAAAGGAGGTGGTGCTCTCCCTACCTTGGGGGTCTTCAAGGGGAGACTGGACAGATATTTGGCTAGGGTGGTATGACCCCACACTCGTTCCTGCCCAGGGCAGGGGGTCAG